AAAAAATGAAATATAATAATAATAATAATAATAATAATAATAATAATAATAAATTTAAATGAATTTATTTATTTATTTTTCTGTTTCAGGTGGGGTTGCTGTCGGCCCTGCCCCACCTGGTGATGACCATCGTGGTGCCCCAATAATTAAATACAATAACAATAATACAAAATAACAATGATAATGGTAATGATAAAGAAATAACAATAAATAATTTAATTTATTTGTGTGTTTCAGGTGGGGTTGCTGTCGGCCCTGCCCCACCTGGTGATGACCATCGTGGTGCCCCAATAATTAAATACAATAACAATAATACAAAATAACAATGATAATGGTAATGATAAAGAAATAACAATAAATAATTTAATTTATTTGTGTGTTTCAGGTGGGGTTGCTGTCGGCCCTGCCCCACCTGGTGATGACCATCGTGGTGCCCATCGGGGGCCAGATCGCCGATTTCCTGCGCTCCCGCGGGATCATGTCCACCACCAACGTGCGCAAGATGATGAACTGCGGCGGTCAGTGACACTGACAGTGACACTGTGTGACACTGTGTGACACTGTGTGACACTGTGTGACACTGACAGTGACAGTGACAATGGGATCATGTCCACCACCAACGTGTGCAAGATGATGAACTGCGGCGGTCAGTGACACTGACAGGGACACTGTGAGAGTGTGACAATGACAGTGTGACACAGTGTGACAGTGACAGTGTGAGTGTGACAGTGACAATGGGCACAGTGTGACAGTGACAGTGTGACAATGGGATCATGTCCACCACCAACGTGCGCAAGATGATGAACTGCGGCGGTCAGTGACACTGACAGTGGCACCGTGACACTGTGTGACACTGTGTGACACTGACAGTGACAGTGTGACAGTGACACTGTGACAGTGACAGTGACAATGTGACAATGACAATGACATTTTCCCCCAGGTTTCGGCATGGAGGCCACGCTGCTGCTGGCGGTGGGCTGTCAGTGTGACAGTGTGACAGTGTGACACCGTGACTCTGTGACACTGTGACTAGTGTGACAATGACACTGACACTGTGATGGTGACAATGACAATGACATTGTCCCCGCAGGTTTTGGCATGGAGGCCACGCTGCTGCTGGTGGTGGGCTGTCAGTGTGACACTGTGACAGTGTGACAGTGACACTGACACTGTGATGGTGACACGGTGACAGTGACATTGTCCCCCCAGGTTTCGGCATGGAGGCCACGCTGCTGCTGGTGGTGGGCTACTCGCGCTCGCGCGCCGTCGCCATCTCCTTCCTGGTGCTGGCCGTGGGCTTCAGCGGCTTCGCCATCTCGGGTGGGCAGCGGGGGGACCCCGGGGACGCCGTGGGGACAGCGGGGCACGCCGCGGTGACACCGCTGTCCCCCCCGGGCAGGGTTCAACGTGAACCACCTGGACATCGCGCCGCGCTACGCCAGCGTGCTGATGGGGCTGAGCAACGGCGTGGGGACGCTGTCGGGGATGGTGTGTCCCCTGATCGTGGGGGCCCTGACGCGCCACAAGGTGAGGGGACACTGGGGACACTGCCAGGGACACTGCCAGGGGACACCAGGGACACTGGGGACACTGAGGGGACACTGGGGACACTGCCAGGGGACACTGGGGACACTGGGGACACCGAGGGGACACTGGGGACACTGCCAGGGGACACTGGGGACACTGAGGGGATGGTGTGTCCCCTGATCGTGGGGGCCCTGACCCGCCACAAGGTGAGGGGACACTGGGGACACTGCCAGGGACACTGGGGACACTGTGGGGATGGTGTGTCCCCTGATTGTGGGGGCCCTGACGCGCCACAAGGTGAGGGACACCGAGGGGACACCGAGGGGACACTGCCAGGGACACTGCCAGGGGACACTGGGGACACCAAGGGACAGGGACACTGGGGACACTGAGGGGATGGTGTGTCCCCTGATTGTGGGGGCCCTGACGCGCCACAAGGTGAGGGACACCGAGGGGACACTGAGGGGACACTGACAGGGACACTGAGAGGACAACAGGGGGGACTGGGGACAGCAGGAAGGGATAGAGGCACACGGGGGGACAATAGGACATGGGGGGGACACTGGGACATGGTGGGGACAGAGGGACACATTGGGGACAGAGGGACACAAAGGGGACCCCGGAATTTGGGGCCTCGTGCCCCCCACCTGTCACTCACCGCCCGCCTGGCCCCGCCCCTCCCCTTGGCTCCGCCCCTCCAACTCCCACTCTCTCCCTTTGGCCACGCCCCCATTTCCCCGCTCTCCCTGTGGCCACGCCCCCTGTTTTCCGGACACTGAGGGGACACTGACAGGGACACTGAGAGGACAACAGGGGGGACTGGGGACAGGAGGAAGGGTCAGAGGGACACTGGGGGGACACTGGGACATGGTGGGGACAGAGGGACACATTGGGGACAGAGGGACACAAAGGGGACCCCGGAATTTGGGGCCTCGTGCCCCCCACCTGTCACTCACCGCCCGCCTGGCCCCGCCCCTCCCCTTGGCTCCGCCCCTTCAACTCCCACTCTCTCCTTGGCCACGCCCCCTGTTTTCCCCGCTCTCCCTGGCCACGCCCCCTGTTTTCCCGCTCTCTCTCTCTCGCCCCCCATTGGCCGCCGGCCGGGCCCCGCCCCCGCGCGGCGCGCGGCGGGCGCTGATTGGCGCAGACGCGCGAGGAGTGGCAGTGGGTGTTCCTGATCGCCGCGCTCGTGCACTACGGGGGCGTGGCCTTCTACGGCGCCTTCGCTTCCGGGGAGCCGCAGCCGTGGGCGGAGCCTCCGCGCGAGGAGGCGGAGCCTCTGGCGCCGGGGGGCGTGGCCAGCGACGAGGAGGAGGAGGATGAGGAGGGGGAGGGGGAGGGAGAATAAATGGGATTGAACTGGGATTAAACCGGGATTGAACCAGGATTAAATACCGGGAATAAATTGGGAATGAACCGGGAATAAATCCCGGGAATGAACCAGGATTGGACTGGGATTAAATACCGGGATTGAACCGGGATTAAATACCGGGAATGGACCGGGATTGAAGTGGGAATGAACCAGGAATAAACCAGAATAAACTGGGGTTGAACCCGGATTAAATACTGGGATTAAACTGGGATTAAATGCCGGGATTGGACTGGGATGGAACCGGGAATAAACTGAGGTTGAACTGGGGTTAAACCAGGAATAAATACCGGGATTGAACTGGGAACAAACCGGGAATAAATACCGGGAATAAACCAAGATTGGACCGGGAATAAATGCCGGGAATGAACAGGGATTAAACTGGGATTGAACTGGGAATGAACCGGGATTGAACTGGGAACGAACCGGGATTAAATACTGGGATTGAACTGGGATTAAATACCGGGATTGAACTGGGAAGGAACCGGGATTAAATACTGGGATTGAACTGGGAAGGAACTGGGATTAAATACTGGGAACGAACTGGGATTGAACTGGGATTAAATACTGG